CGGGTGGCACCCTCGACCCCCAGTGTGGCGGCTGTGCAGGAGGCAGCCGATCCATGACTCCCTCTCATCATTGATGTTTCTCTCTCCCTCTCACTCCCTTCCTCTCTGAAATCAATAAAAAAAAACCCCACACAAACATAGATGTTTTTAAAAGAATACATGCTCCAAGAGAACATGAGGATGGGCACCGTGAATGTATTTAGCGCGGTCGCCAGGACAGAGGCGAGACCACAGCTGGCAAAAGACCCGGAACCACCTGTGGTCCTAAACGCGCCAGACAGCACATGGCCGCCGTGATGGGACTGCCCTGCACACGGGGCCGGGCCGGGGGAACCGCTCACAATGAACTCGGGACGCGGCCGAGGAATAACAAACACAGCTGCACGGTCCGAGGACAATGCCCACGTCGGGGTCAGAGCGTCTGCCGGACTCCGCTGTTTATTGCTCTTGGAGAATGGAGACGGCACGGCCGCCGTTAAAGCCAGAGGAGGCTGTTTGTGCAAAAGAGGGGCGTTGGGTGCCCGCGCTCTCGCTCCGCAGAAAAGCGCAGCATCACCGCGTCGCTCGCTCAGCTGTTCTTGGCCGTGGTCGCTTGCAAACAGCTGGAAGTGGGAGGTCCCCCCCCCCTTCCCCCAGAGTGGCCCCGAGGGGCAGGCTCCGGCCGAGCCTTGGGCGTGTCTCTTTCTTTCTTTCTTTTTTTAAATGCAATCTTCAGAATCATATAAATTTGTTGCTTTATTTTTTTAACGTTTACTTTTATATATGTGTATTTCTTTTTCTTTCTTTCTTTCTCTTTATTACTTTTACATATATTTAAAAGTTTTTATTGAGCCCTAGCCAGTTTTGCTCAGTGGACAGAGGGTTGGTCTGCAGACTGAAGGGTCCCGGGTTCGATTCCAGTCAAGGGCACATACCTCGGTGGCAGGCTCCTTCCTGGCCCAGGCCCTGGTCGGGCAGGGCATGAGCAGGAGGCAACCCATTGATGTGTTTCTCTCACATCAATAATTCTCTCTGTCTTTCCCTCTCTCTTCTACTCTCTCTAAAAATCAATGGGAAAATATCCTTGGGTGAGGATTAAATTATTGATTTCAGAGCAAGGGAGGGAGAAGGAGAGAGAGAGAAACATCAATGATGAGAGAGAATCATGGATAGACTGCCTCCTGCACGCCCCCTACTGGGGATCGGGCTCGCAACCCAGGCATGTGCCCTGGCTGCTGACCAAAGGGTCCTGGGTTTGATTCTGGTCAAGGGCACGTACCCCGATTGCAGGCTCCTCCCCGGCCCGGGCCCTGGTTGGGACCCATGCAGGAGGCAACCAATCGATGTGTCTCTCTCACATGGATGTTTCTCTCTGTCTCTCCCTGTCCCTTCCACTCTCTCTAAAAATCAATGAAAAAATACCCTCAGGTGAGGATTCACAACAAAATAAGACACCCGTGCATGGAAAGAAACAGCCAGCCGAACGGGCCGGAGGTCCACCCACGG